TAGCAGCGCACCTCAACCTGCTCCCAGCGGCTTGCCCAGGCCACCAGCAATGCAGCAGCAAGCAGAGCCTCGCTCCAGCGCGAGCATCTACTCCAACCCGCACGAAAGCCTGCATGACGCGCCCACATCGCCAATCCAGTCCTCTCAACCACCTGCACCCGACTTTGCCTTTCCTCGACACCCAGCAGGCCGCGAAAGTCCGCCTGTGCAGGGTATGCAGGGAATGTCTATCAACAATAGCAGCGCGCGCGCCCCTCCCCCTGCAGAGCGCGAAAGACCAAGCAGCTTCTTTGGCATGGAACGACCCACGGCTGCTATCAATGCCGCAGGTCAGAGGGAAGCCTTGCCCCAACCCATCGTTCCAGCTGCGGCGCCTTCCTACAGAGACGGCGCGGAGAGCACAATGACCGGCGGGCGACCATCCTCCTTCTTTGGCGTGGAAGTTCCAGCTCACGCGCTTCCCGCTGGAGTCAGTCATGGCGCATCCACACCCATCGACCAGCCAAGCGCGAACAGTCAAGCCGCTCGAATCGCGGCCTACCATCGTGGAGAGTCTGTGAAACAAGCACAGGCTCAGGCAGATGCTGCTTCCAACCCCGCTCTGGCCTCTGCCGGCGTATCCTTTGACGGCGTCTCTGCTGCTGGCTACAATGGCGCAATGTCGAACCACAGCACGCTCGCAGGAGGAACTGGAAATGGACCAATGCCAAGCAATGCCGCATCTGGCAGACCTGCCAGTATCGCTCCTACCGTCTCCACTGGCGCTTTACTGGATCACAGTCATCTTCGTCCCGGTCAACAAGCTGCGCTTCTCTCACACAACAAGACGCTCGAGCTGTACAGGCAGAATGCCAAGAAGACGAACGATCCAAACCTGATCTACGAGCTGGCAGTGTTCATGATTGACGCGAGCAAGAGCATGGGCAGCGATGCCTCCAGCGGTGGCAGTGGTGGTGGCCATGGTGAGGATGGCGCGGCGCAAGGCAAGGAGGAGAGCGCTCGCGATGAGCTCATTCGTGAAGCCGTCGGGCTACTGAAAAAGATTGCCGAGCGTGGTCATGCAGACGCGCAGTACTTTCTAGCCGATTGCTACGCCAACGGCATTGGCAGTCCAAAGGGCAAGCAAGACTTTGATCACGCATATCCGCTCTTCGTCTTGGCTGCGAAGCACGGCCACGCAGACGCAGCGTACCGCGCAGGCACGTGCTACGAAAAGGGCTGGGGATGCCGGAAAGACGCTAGCAAGGCGGTGCAATTCTACCGAAAGGCAGCTTCCCAGTCTCACCCTGGCGCCATGTATCGCTTGGCGACGGCGCAGCTGAATGGCGAGCTCGGCCTCAAGAAGAGCGCGAGGGAGGGTGTCAAGTGGCTAAAGAGGTCCGCAGAGTCTGCCACACCAGAATTTCCACACGCTCTGCACGAGCTGGCTCTGCTGCACGAGAGGGGAATCGAGAACACGGTGTTTGTGGACCCAGAATACTCTTGCGAGCTGTTGGCTCAGGCGGGGGAGATGGGCTACGCTCCATCTGCATACAAGCTGGGCGTCAATTACGAATATGGACGCATGGGCTGCCCTCAAGATGCTGGTCTCAGCATTCACATGTACAATATCGGTGAGCAGGCGAGTCTATCATGCTGGCCCATGCAGCACGGTGCTGACCCGGACCGTTTCGGCGTTCCTCAGCCGCACAACAAAATCACAAAGAGGCGTGCTTTGCGCTCACTGCGTGGTACCTCGTAGGAGCACCCGGCATTCTGCCTCAGAGCGACACTGAGGCATACTTGTGGGCGAAGAAGGCGGCTGAGCAAGGTCTGGCCAAGGCAGAGTACGCAGTGGGCTACTTTACAGAGGTGAGCTGGAGCGTCAAGCCCATGTGCTCGCACGCCTGGGAGCTCACATGTTTCTCATTGACCGCGCGCAGATGGGCATAGGAACAGTCAAAGATCCACGCGAGGCTCGCGCCTGGTACCGCGCCGCTTCGGAACATGGAGACAAGCGTGCAACGCAAAGGATGATTCAACTTGGCGGCAATCCAGACGCAGCGCTTGCAGGCGTAGGCGCTGGTGGGGGAGGTGGCCCACAAGGGCCTATTCCGCTGGGCGTCTCGACGTATGCCGGTGGGCAGAGTGCGCCGATACGACACACGCAGCCTCCCAATGCGCCCTTTCCCTCTGCTGTAGAGCAGAGCAGCATGTCGCCAATTCAAGGCCCCGGATCGTACCCTTCGCCACTAGCAATGCGCGAAGCACAGACATCGGCACGAGCGCAGGCATACGAAGCTCAAGTCGCAGCTGTGCAAGCTGGCAGATCGAGCAGGCAGCAGTCTATGATGCCACCTCCGCCCATCACGAATTCTTCGGGCGGAGATGGAGGAGCTCCTTATAGAAATGCCGCGCCGATGCAAACTGCCCACGAGTATCAGGGATCTCCGCTGGCTGGTGGAGCCTACCCTTCGTATCCTGCACCTCAGGCCGCACCTCCAGCTGGCGCCGCAGAAAAGAAGAAGAGCTGGTTCGGCAAGCATTGAAGTAAAGTTTCGGCCGCACACTTACCCCTATCCTGGACTTTTTACCTGTCGCTTCGCGCATCGAAACGCATCCATTCAGATTCCATTTCTCTCTCCTACACGCACGATGGCATGATCGCTGGTTGGAAGCGTCTGCGTTCTGTGATGCGCGTGCGGATATCATTGAGATTGGGCAGAGCAGAGCTCTATGCCGTACAAGGTGACCCTACCCCAGGCATCGGCGCTGCCCTTGAAGGTGAAGATTAGCGTTCGTGTCGTGGCATTGGGAGGCGCGTCGGAAGGGAGCTTGGAGAGTCTGAGAATGGTTTCGAGTGCGGACGCCAAAAAAAAAGAAAGTCAGTGGAGCTGACGCTGGTCTAAAGGCTGTGCATCGACTCACTGCCATGACTGAAGGCTGTTGCGATCTTGCGGTCTGACGGTGAGCAGGACGAGGGCGTTGCTTGCGTTGACCAAGGTGTTGCTTTGCGCTGCTTGGGATGCGAACGCCTCTGCATGGCTTGCGAGATGAGGCGCTGACCAGCTCTGACCGTCTTCGTGAAAGTCATCCTCTTCCTCTTC